AAAGCCCACGTTTCCCAGGGACAGTTTCCTGCAGCAGTGGAGCATTTGCAAACCCTCTGTGGCTCCCAGGCATACTGAGTATTAGGCTGGCTCATACCCAAATAATAATGCTGGAATTTACACAAACTAAAAAAAGTGTGGAGGGGTGGGTGGAGGGAGAAAAACTCTTTTTCATTTTTTAAAGAGGATTGTAACCAAACTTATGGGGAAGTTAGGCCTGTCTGGAACTGGCACAGCCACTAAGCTCTTGCTTTCTGACAGATAGCAACATCTAAACAGCTTGTTAGATCAGTAACAGCAAGCCACCTCTGAGTTTGACAACACGGGGTTTAGACGAGGGAACCCACAACAATGAGCTCTAATGCTTTTGAAATAATTTTTCAGACAGCATGGAGGGTTTCAGCATTGCAGTTCCTTACAAAGGACTGTTCTTTTTGCTGTTCACCAGCTTATGTCAGTAGAGACTCCCTGTCCCTTCATCAAAACCACTGCTAAATCCATTTATGTCCTGCATTAAATAGAGACGTAAATTAAACAGACAATAACTGTTTTATCAGAGCTTCTAGGACTCCCAGAGAGACCCCCAAGTAAGGCTATACCTGGAGCCTAGAAATTGAATACAGGGTCATCATCCTTTCTTTCATTCTTTTGTTCTTTCTCTCATTATTTTTCTCTGTCTTTGTTAAACTCAAGCTTCTACAGGGTACATGAAGAGAATATTACAGGAGACTCATGAGCTTTCATTTCTCTGCCTCCTGTTCCTCGTGAATGGAATAACATTTCCCTGATTTTAGAGAGAATCCCTGCAAATGATAAGCCTGTCCAGAAGCCCTGGTAGCTGCCGGCTGACTTTGACATGATTCTTGTAGTTTTTTGCTATCACTCTAGCCAGTAGCAACAGAGAAATTGGCCTTAATAGTTATAATTTCTTAGAAGAAAATATTTTAAGGTTCTATTTCAATGCATATTTTAAAGAATGTTCGTCTCAACCCGGAAGAAAAGTTTTTCCAAAAATGTAAAAAGGTTTCTAGAGCATAAAGGTAATTTTCAGACGAGTTCTAAATGCCCATTTTTGGGGGGTTTTTTTTTGCTTACTTTTGTTAATAGTACAACTTTTCTCAGAGACTGGAATTTATTTCTGCACGGTGGCCTTTTTAAGGAATTAAATGGGGTTTATAAGATCCTTAATCCTGATTCTGGCTCTTTATGCAGAGTTGAATTTCATAGAAAGAGTGAATTTCAGACAAAAGAGACCAATGGAGTTAACATTTAATCTCTTTTTGAAACACTGAGAGCTTTTGGGTCTCATGAGATTCTGAAATCATGTTCCATATATATAAGTTTTCTTTGTGTGTCTTGTAGGCTGGATCATAATTACTAGATGACTTGCATGTTTATGTTGTCTGTTGTGCCTTTGGGAGTTCTTGTTCCGGGTATTTAAAAGTCCTAATAATTGATAAAATGTGTAGTTTACTTTGCCATTTGTGTGTGTAGGTTAAACTCTTTTATCTTCAGTACCTGAAGTATATACAGTCTAACAGTAGGAGAGTACAAGTCTGAATGTAGTTAAGATTCATTATCACTAGTTGAAGATCACCTATATTTTTCTCCAATTTCAGTCCAGTAAAAACTCAGTTTCTTTCA